AAGAGAACTTTACTTTTTTTTTAAAAACGGAGGAAAATTGAGAGAGAGGAAAAAGAAAAAAAGGCAGAGAAGAATCAAAGATAAAAAGACAATGAAAAAAAATCCCCTCCCCCACCCCACCCCTAAGACACAGTTTTCCGAAGTCGCGTGTGTGCGCGCGCACAGTGTGTGTGTGGACAGGCCGCTCACACCGGTGAGAGTGTCTCAGGGCAGTTGCCCGCGCCCGGCCACGGGTCACGTCCCGTCCTTACCATCGGTGCCCCCTCCCCGCCTTCTCTGCAAGCCCTGGGCTAGTGTGTGTGTGTGTGGGTGGGCGTGGGTGTGTCTGTGTGTGCGTGTGCGTGTGTGTGTTGGGTTTCTGTGAGAGTCTCTGGGCTACAGACAGTGGGTCTTGTCCTTTTTGGTCCAGCGGCAGCTCAGGTTCCGGGGGGGATGTGGGCGCCGCGCGGGCTCAGGCCTTGTGCTGGGCCGGTGCGCCCTGCGTCCCGGGTTTCGGGGAGGGCGCGGGCTCAGGACTTGTGCTGCGCCGACACGCCCTTCCAGTAGTCCAGGATGTCGTGCAGATCCTCATCTTTGGCGAACTGGACCTTCTTGCGCAGGGCGTGGCCGGCCGCCATGAACTCCTCGTCGTCCTTGTGCCGCCGGCGGCTCAGTCTGAAGCGCCCCCAGATGCTCTGGGAGGCCCTGCAGGTGTACTCGGGGCTGGAGGAGTAGCTCAGGTGGTGGTACTGCGGGGACAGCTGCGAGTAGGCCAGGTCGCGGGGCCGAGGCCGGGTCAGCGGCTCCAGGATGGATGCCTTGCGGCCGCCCAGGCTCTCGTGGGGTGGGGGCGCGGGGGGCGTGGGCGGCTCGGCGGGGTGCGAGCCGGGGTACGAGTGCCGGTGCTCGCCGTACTGGCGGCTCTTCTCGGCCTCAGCCCGCAGCACAGCGGCCGCGGGCGTCACAGTGAGGATGGCGTCAGCCGCGGGTGAGCTCTTCTCAATGTACTTGGCCTCGGCTGCCGCCGCTGCCGCCACCGCCTTATGCGGCCCGGCGGCCTCGGCACGGAAGGGCCGCGGGCTGCGCACTGAGCCACTGGACGAGGTGCTGGCGCGCGGGGGCCCGGGGGCCGCCTCCGTGCTGTGGTGCCGCTGCAGGCCGTGGCTGAAGCTGTCCTTGTAGATGGGCGACAGGAAGCCATGCGTGCCGGCCAGCGGCTCGGACAGCAGCACCAGCTGCGGGTCAGCCGCTCCCGCGGCCCCGGGCTTGCCGCCCTGGAAGGCGGCGGCCTCGGACTTGAGGGCGTCGATGCAGTTGTTGATGATCTGGTTGACCTTGTCCACCTCCTTGGCGATGGTGGAGATCTCTGCCGCTGAACCCTGGCTGTCAGGGCCGGGCCGGCCCAGCTCGCGGTCCCCGCGCTCGGCCTGGCCCCCCGCGCGCACCTCCATGTAGCTGGCCTTGGGCGTCTCCCCGCTCCCTGCCAGCTTGTGCTGCTCCAGCTCGCCGGGGGCTGCCGGCAGGTAGGGGATGCGGGCCACGGCCTCGGGGCCCCGGAGCGGGCCCAGCCCAGGCGCCTCCAGCTCGGGGCCGTACTTGAGCTCCAGGATGGTCTTCTTGAGGCTGCCGGCCGCGGCCGCCGCAGCCGCCTTCTTGTGCTTCTCCCCCTGGCGCCTCCGCCGGCGCAGGCAGTAGTAGACGGCGCCGAGCACCAGCACCATGCCGAAGAGGCAGCCCAGGACGGTCATGATGTAGTGGGTGGCCGTGGGCGGGCTGGGCCCCGGGCCCGGCGGGCCGGGCGGCTTGGGCAGGCAGATGGTGAGGCAGGTGTGGTTGTGGTGCAGCCCAGAGCTGCTGGACACCACGCAGTAGGTGTAGTTGGTGAGCGCGTACAGGTTGAGCAGGTGGATGTCCTCCTGGGCCTTGGTCAGCTTGGACACGGTGGACGACTTGCTGTTGTTGAAGTGCTCCAGCGTGTACATGCGGTTGAACGGGCTGGGCAGCTGGACCGTGATGGTGGCCGAGTTCTGCGTCAGCTGCTTGACCTTGATGAGCGGGCGGGCCTCAGCCTGTGTGGCGAGCGTGGGCAGGGCCACCAGCGGCGTGGTGCCATCGCCGGAGAAGCACTCGTCGTCGGCGCAGGGGGCCTCGCTGGGCTCGGAGGGCGGCGGAGGGGGCGGCGGCGGGGAGCGGCCCGGCGCCAGGCGGGTCTCGGCTGTGTAGGAGCCGTCGGTGCACACAGACTGCAGCTTGCTGAGGACGCTGCGCTGGCCGTGGCGGCCCTGGCCCAGCAGGAAGTAGCCCGAGTAGAGGGGCGGCGACTCGCACTGCATGCGGTCGTAGGCCTGCGTGGCGTTGGCAAAGGCCGCCAGCCAGCGCAGGAAGCCCAGGAGCTCACAGGAGCAGTAGAAGGGGTTGCTGTACAGCTCGCACACGGACAGCTTGGCCAGGCCGGCGAAGGTGGCGCCATGCAGCCGCTGGATGCGGTTCATGGACAGGTCGAGGTTGACGATGTTGGGGCACTCCCAGAGGGCGCCGGGCGTCACCACCTCGATGAGGTTGGCCTGCAGGTACAGGTACTCCAGCTTGCCCAGGCCGCGCAGCGCGCCCGCCGTCAGGTTGCGCAGGCGGTTGTAGCCCAGCTGCAGCACCTGCAGGTTGAACTGGCCGGAGAAGGCGCCGTCCTCGATGTAGCCAATCTCGTTCTTGGTGAGGTTGAGGTACGTGAGGTTGCCGAAGCGGCTGAGCACGCCATGCGGCAGGCTGCGAATGCGGTTCTCGTTCAGCCGCAGGTCCACCACGCTGCTGTTGATCTGCTGCGGGACGGCCTCGTAGGGCGGCTGGTTCTGGCTGCAGATGGCCAGCCACACGAAGCCCTTGTCGCCCTCGATCAGCCAGCAGTCGCCGCGGGCCAGCCCGCCTGCATGCAGCAGGGCGGCCGCCACCACGCACACCCACAGC